ACAATGGACAAAAAATTTTTCGACACTGAGGTCTTTTCTGAGACTGATACTCCAATCAAGGACCATGCATGGAGATAACTTAGAACCCCTGCATAGAAGTAGCCCATTGCAGCTCAGTGTCCAAGATGGTTCCCTAGTAATAGGAACAGGGACCATCTCTGACATGAACTCATGGGTTGGCTCTTTGATCACCTCCATCTGAGGGGGGAGCAGCCTTACCAGTCCACAGAGGAAGACAAAAAAGCCAGTCCTGATGAGACCTGATGGACTAGGGTCAGATGGAAGGGGAGGAGGACCTCCCCTATCAGTGGACTGGGGAAGGGGCATAAGGAAAAGAAGAGGGAGGGAGGGTGGAATTGAGAGGTGATGGGGGAGGGGCCTACAGCTGGGATTCAAAGTGAATAAACAGTAATTAATAAAAATAAAAATAAAGAATATGAGCTTTTTGTCCCCGTTTAGTTCTGTGACTGCCTGTCACAGAGCTGCTCAGCATTTTCAGCAGAAGCTCTGGTCCTGTTAGTGGTTGAGAGTGCCTACCATGCTCAGCCTCATTTCTCTGCTTGCTGAAGCACGTGTTATCTAGAAAGATCCTATTGATTAATTGGAACTATTCAGTTGCAAATGGATATGCAACAAAATGGGGGAGGGTGGAAAAACAAGCCCAGGGCTTGATGTTCAGGGGACATTTTTAGATTTAGAAGCAGCCTGCTGCTCTCCGTGAAATCACTGACTGTAATTAATGACACACATTCTTTTCTGGTGGTTTTTCTTCTAAAGGTCAACTACTGGTCTCTCTCTCCCTCTCTCTGTCATTCTGTCTGTCTGTCTTTTTTTCTCTCTGTATGTGTGTGTGTGTATTTTATATGTGTGTGAGTGTGTGTGTGTGTGTGAGTGTGCGAGTGTGTGTGTACATGCCCTCACATGTCTTAAAGTTAATGACTGTGTCTATGTTGTTAAGTTTCTACCTGGATAGTGTTTACATTCACCTCATACAAAGTCTTTTCTTTAGTCTTCATAGAAACCTGATAATCTTCTCCAGGAAAGTTCAAAACATGGTGAAGCTATTCAATAAAACAAAGCATGGCAGCAATTTAAGTTTTCTATTTTGGGGAATGGAGGGTGAAGCCACTGGTAAATGACATAGTAAAATTTTAAGTCCTATTGAGTTCTTAAGTGGAGTCAGAAGTAATATTTTAGTCACTATGAGCCAATGCTGTTGAGGAGAGAACTTCTTAAATGTGTCCTCTTCTCTAGCCTGGAGGGAGGTGATCCTCAACATCTTCTGAATGGCAGACCTTTTCACCTGACTTCTCTAGTGAGGAATCAGTAAAAACCACCACGGTCCTACTCATTATAGGAGAGAAATAATCATACTTTAGAGCCAGGAATCTCATCTTTAGGGTGAAAACAATAGATTATGCACCATTCACATTCCCACCCATGGCTTTACTGTTTTCAGTGTTGGAAAAATCTTTCCAGTTTAGACAGCTTTTCTTTCTTGACTGCCTCTCTCACCCTTGAAAAACACATTTTTAGTCCTCATAAAAACTCTAAACAGAGCATCTCGCTGTATTGGGTGGTGTGGCATAAGAGGCAAAAGACTCATACTCAGCTTTGATGGTCTCTTTAGACTGCAGGCAGAATGCCACTGGTGTCCTGATACCTGACAGGTGGTTATAAGCATGGGACCATGACATGCATTGGGACCACCTGTCTTCCTTCTCTATTTCTTGCAGTAGTCTTTGATTTAGACTCAGTGCAGTGTCAAATCAGTACCAACCTGGCTCCATCCTGCCCTGCCAATCTGTTTTTTTGCACAAGATGCCTTTGTCAACTCCAGAAGGAGAACTGACTTTTCCTTTTTCTTGTAATAATTGTGTATCGTATGTATCAATGTCTTTTGTGTTTCTTTTTTGTTTGTACCTGACTGTTGCCGGTATCTTTCTGCTTCCTTATGCCTACATGCCAGCCCTTCCATTGAGCCAAGGTGTTTTTTACCATCATGCCTCTGATGGACTGTTACAGGCTTCTGGATGATCAACCTGTCTTTGATCAGTTCCCTGTTTTGCTGAGGAGAGTTGGCATTGGTGATCTCCTTGGTCTCATTGGGGTCCATCCAGACCTTCTTTTTGCTGCAGTGGGCACTAGAGGCAAGCCTGTTCTGTAACCTGAGAATACTAATGGTTGTGGCTATTTAATTCTTTTTCTTTTTTCTTACTGTGGCGTAAGATTTATGATGATGATGATGATGATAAAGATTTACTATTATTATTAATTTTTAACTCTGTATCCCAGTTTTAGCCCTATCCCTAATCTCCTCCCATTTGAACCCTCCCTCCCTCTTCCTTCCCTCTCTGTCTCCCCTGTCCACTGATAGGGGAAGTCCCAATCCCCTACTGTCTGACCCTAGCCTATCAGGTCCCACCAGGCCTCCTTAGATCCTCTTTTTCTGTGGGCTGCCTAGGTGTCCCCACCAGGGTGAAGGGATCAAGGGACAGGTAACTGAATTCATGTCAGAGACTGTCACTTCTGCCCATGCTAGGGAACCCTCATGAAGACTGAACTGTTTGTTACTTCACAACTTAACAAGGTTTAAGCAGGACAAGCCTATTGTATTAATTTTTTTCCTATACTAGCTAGTTACAATCTGTATTTCCAAAGAAACATGCTTTCTATCTTTTGTCTTATTTTTGATGCTTTGTGAGATAAAATAGTTAATTATCTATTTTCTATTCATGGCTTATCTATTATGATATATACCACGACTCAATGATCTCATTTCCAACCTAAAAGAAATGTTTACTGTGTGTCATAAATCTGTCCCAAACCTGTTCATCCTAGTAAAATTTATATGCTTGATGCAAGAAGGTTCTCAGAGTTACTATCAGTTTTGATATTCTGAAGGGGGTTTAAAATTACAGGAATCGGGGCTGGAGAGATGGCTCAGTGGTTAAGAGCACTGTCTGCTCTTCCAAAGGACCCGGGTTCAATTCCCAGCACCCACATGGCAGCTCACAACTGTCTGTATCACCAATTCCAAGGAATCTGACACCTTCACACTAATACACATAAAATAAAAAATAAAATAATAAAATAAAATTACCGGACTCAAATCAGGAATTCTATAAAATCATTATCAGAAATTATAAAATCCTGGACTCGATGATGGCAGTGACCAGTGCACACCCTATCTGAACCTCCAAAACTGGTGAGTGGATGGCTGGCTGAAGGCAAAACATTGACTTTGAGGCTTCCCAGGGTAGAGGGTACTACACATGAGCAGGACAGTTTGGATCCAGGTCCTCCCGGGGGATGTCCCCAGCTTCTGAGAGTGAGGAACTATTGACCTCAGCACTATGGGCTGCACATTCACTGGTTCTGCCTGCAGTGGTGCCGCCTGTGGCAACAGGATGTGGGGAATGCATAACTCCAGTTTAGGGGCCTCTTTCCTCTAAAGGCCAAACAGGAGACCCAAATCTGAGAGTAGAAAACTGTGGGCCCTCTGAGCTTACCACATACAGTGAGTTCCCAGGCCCTCTGCCCTTTCCACAAACACCTGCAAGTGAGTAAGTCTGCAAGAGAGTGCTTATTGAGCCCCAAATCCAGCGTCCCTCTACACTGGCCACCAGACATCAGATCCTTCCCACTCCCACCCCTACTGTGGGCAACATAGGGATCCCTGGGACAGTGTTCTAAACATTGAAGCCTGTTATGTGGGTCTCCCAGTGTAGTCCAGCCAAACAATTCCTGGAAACAAGATGGTGCAGCCAAGATAGATCTGAGTTCTTGGAGCACAGTACAGGCCTGTGGGCTTCTGAGCCATTCAGGTTCCTGCGTACATGCACTGCAACTGCAAACCATGCCTGTACCTCAACCAGCCCTTGAGCTCCTCCCTCACACTCCACCATTCCAGCATGCACTCTTCCACCCACACTCTTAGGTTTGGGCACACGCACCTGCCACCTTCCTCTGTTAGCTGTATCTGAAACACCAACACCCACTCTCAAACCTGTGGACCACTCTCATCTTCCTAAAGAATACTCCAGAAGCCAGAGGTAATTAGACACAGTCTGCAGTACAGGCTCAATGAATTATAAAATCATCTTCATATTGATGTGTCAGGAAATCTGCCCAATAGAGTGAAGCAGTTACACCAGACTACATGCAGAAAGGATTTCTCTCTGCCACTTACATGAGATATACAAGAATGACACGCATGGAAAGGCATATGAGCAGCAGGAAACAACCTGGAGACAAAGTCGCTGGGGCTGTGCCTCACCAGGACAAACACATTTGTCAGCTGTGCAAAATTGATGGGCTGCATCCAGGAAGCTCACCTGCTTGCCACAAGCTCTTTCTGCACCAAAGGCTCCTGGAAGCAAAGCAGGGCACAGCCCCATCCCTGCATGTCTATTCCTCCCTGAGACTTGTCATCACTCTGTTTATCAACACTATGCTCCTGCTTCTGTTCACTGTTCATCTGTTTCAAATACAAATACTGCCAGTGACCCTAGTTGACTTAACCAAAGAGCTTTCTTACCATCTTCCTCTCCACCTTCTCCTTTGTGTTGGGGAAGTGGGAGTTAAGCTGTGCATGATTAGGTACATGTTTGAGAACAGGTGAATATGGATGTAGAGGCCAGAAGTAAACTTTGGGTGCTGTTTCTCAGGAATTGTGCATCATGTTTTGTGACACAGGGTGTCTCCCTGAGACCTGAGGCTTGCCTATTTAGCTAGGATGGAGGACCAGGAAGCCCAAGGGATCCTTTTGTCTTTGCCTCATAAACACTGGTATAACCCCCATGCCTAGACGTTGAGATGTACACTGGAGATGAAATTTCAGTCTTCAGGCTTGCATGACAAGGACATCAAAGATCAAGCTCTCTATTCAGCACTCACTCTTTACATGCCCTGTTCTTATTATGTGGACCAGCATAAACTTTGAAAATATATCTTCTTTTGTTTTTAGCCTGAACTATAATGACAATTTGACCAAGACATATCAATCAAAAGATATTTTTATTAAGAACACCCAGAAGTTAAATTACTGTGAATTATTATAAGAAGAAACTTCTTGGTGCTACAGTTAAATCACATTAATAGCTCAAGCCTAGATATATGTGGGCACAAGGGATGGGAAGGAACAGTGTTTCAGAGGATAGCGAAGTACACATATATTAGTGAAGTGACTCCAGAAACTACAAAATAGAATATATGTGTTTCCTGAATTTAGAGGTATTTGGGAGCATTTGAAAGGAGAAAGGACCTGAGTTCTTTTATGGTGAGGGAAGTATACAATGGGCTAAAAGGGATTGCAGAAGACAATACATCAGGAGGCAGTTAACCTGATCTCTTTAGACAGGAATGAAGCAGAGCTGGTAAGGGGGTGGCACGGAGGCAAATCCATTGACAACTGGGGTGGTATCGATGTCCATTGGGTGAACCAAAGGCTTCAGCTTAAAGTTTTGTAAAACAGTGGTCAGGAATAGAAACAGCTCCATGCGGGCCAGGCCCTCTCCTGCACACATCCGTTTTCCTGGGAGGAAAAAAATACCAAAGAAGGTAATCATTCCTATACATAACAAGCATTAATCTGAGATGCACTGTACTGGTAGAGATATAAGAAAAGGGTAATAACTGCTGGGTTGATGGGTGGGTGTTTAGATAAATAGATGGGTGAAGGGGAAAGAAATTAGCAAATAGACAAAGAAGGACATATTTCCATCTATCATATTGTCTTCAAAAATATATCATTCAAAACTATTTGTCAAGTAGCTGTGTTTGTTCAAACCTGTATTCAAAGCACTAAGGTGAATGGGAGTGGGGACTGTGAATGTTTCATAATGCTCATAAAACCAGTGAAGGGAGCTCTGTCTGCACGTAGCACACATGTTGCAGGTATGGATCCAATATCCATGGCTCACACCCTGAATTTGGGAGAGGGAAACCCTGTAGCCACTGCAGGAGGTGATGGCATATCTACAAGGTCTCCATCATCCCATGGTGATCTGGAAGATTCTGAACTGAGAGGAAACAATCTGCTCCAGTGCTTCATGTCCTGTGAAATGATCTGCATTTTCTCTTGAATAGTCTCTAGGACCTACGCCATTTGAGGCAGCTAGAAAACCTTTTATGAAAATATTGCTCTATTTTATGCTTAAAATGTGACATATGAAAGAGCAAGGTATGGATTTCTCCTCAGCAGATTTCTGGCCCTAAGCTGTGTGGTGATCTCCCACGCACTGGTCCAGCTGCATTAGCAGGAATTATTCAGTCATCTGACCTGTTTCCCAAGTATGCTTCAGGACCTTTGGTTTTTTTGTTTGTTTGGTTGGTTTGGTGTGTGTGTGTGTGTGTGTGTGTGTGTGTGTGTGTGTGTGTGTAGAGCCAGAGCTGCATAGTTCAGCCTGGAGGTGAGTAACACAGCAAAGTGACAGGAACTTGAATTATGGAGAAGTCTCCATTTTCATGGTGAGAGAGTAAAGCAGAAATGAAGTTTGATATCTAGGTGGTATCTTTGGTACCTCTGTGATGTACCTAAAGGAAGAACACAAATTCCCTACACTTTGGCTTCCTCTATTTTGAACAATGGATGAACAATCAAAAGCCTCCATTTCATGGCCTGACAAGGAGGGTGCTCCTCACCAAGGACAGAGCATGAGCACTGGAAGTCGCACTCCTGATCCTGCACAAACTGCAAATCAGTTTGTATCGGCCCCCTATACAATCACTGTGGAAATCCCCACAGATCTGCTGGAATCATGGTAATGAGACTCCATTACCTGCTGAGAAAGGCATGAAGTAGTCACTTTTCTTAAAGTTTCCATTCCCATCTAGAAAGTGGCCAGGGTCAAATGTCTCTGGGTTGGGGAATTCCTTGCTGTCATGCAGCACGGATGAGAGTGATGTCATTACGGTTGTTCCCTGGAAAAACACACAGTGAAAAGTTATAAGTAATGGTGGCACAGAAAAAAATTACATAGTTCAGAGTTCTGATCCATAGAATGGATTGCCTATAAAGAACAGCAGGAATATTTCTGACAGAGCATTTAAGGAGTGGGAATTAGAGGATGGGTCAGTCACAGTGGTTGTTAAATTGCCTTAAGTGCATTTTGAAGTCAGTACTGGAATATTGAACTCAAGACCATATCAAAAATACCGTTCATCACAACCAAGCTGGTTTAATTCCAGAAATGCTGGGATGGTGCAACATACAAGATGAAAAGTCTTGTTTTACTCATGGGGAGAAAATCATACCTAGTGAGGTCACCCAGATCAAGACACAAGTGCTGCAATTCTTCTCTCATTCGAGAGTATTAGCTTACACTATATGTCTGTTTTCTGTATTTAACTTGGGGTTTATGTGGATCTAGGAAGTTATCCACTCTCTGTCCTCAAGTAACATCAAGAAAGAATGAATAAAAAGAATGTATGGATCAAGAAAAGTGCTGTTAAATGATGTTCCATAGGTAGCACAAAGTTGTTGCACACTTGAATTCACAGCAATTGTGCTTAGGTAGATTAGGTTAACACAGATTAAGTCAAGTAAAATTCCAACATAGATTGTGAAGGGCTCTGGAGATCTACCCCTACCAAAGCAGGTCAAAGAGGGTTACTTTTCTTTAGGTATGTGGCAATTGGTAAGTTCCCCATATCCCAACAAATGACCCACACCATGTAAATATGAGAAAAAACTGTCTGGACTCAATGGGTTATATGAATGAATGTAAGATGTGAAGTTGGAAGGGAAATGTGATTAAGGTGTTGCAAGCCAAGAGAAAGGACTAGATGTAATAAAGATACATTGTACCCATGTACAAATTTTAAAATTTATAAAAGAACAAAGCCTTTTAAAACAGAGAATTCATGAACAATGAATGTTAGACTAAGTAAATCTAAATGAATACACATGCTTATAATATGTACACTCACAGATATAAGTATAATTATATATATATACATATATAAATAATCAAAATAAGTGTGAAAACATATCTGAAAAGGAGGTGCATGCTTTCTTGGTCAAATTCATGTCAAAGTAAAACACCAAGGATTCCTTGTCTTATCAATAACTCTTTCCAAATATTCTTAAGATGAGGAAGACAATGCAGCCACTCCTGATGAGACCTGATAGACTAGGATTAGGTGGAAAGGGAGGAGAACCTCCACTTTCAGTGGTGGAGGGGAATGGGTTGAAAAGAGAGAGGGAGGGCGAGATTGGAAGAGGATGAGGGAGGGGGCAACAGTTGACATACAAAGTGATAACAATGTAATTAATAAAAATAAATTAATTTTTAAAATGAAAAATAAAAAAAGATATCAGACTTGACAAGAAAGTGTTAAAGTTGTACTCCTTTGTGTTTCTCAGGAATAAAACAAGTCAATGTCCATTGCAATCAGTTCATTTTAGTCCTATCCTGGAAATTTTCAAGTGATAGAATGACATCATGAACACAAATTAAAACACAGAATTGGAAAAGCATATACAAAAGCATTGATCTGGATTACATCTAGAAAGTCCACGTACATTCACAGACAAATCATTAGCAGTAAGTACTAAAATTCACATAGTTGGTTAAAAATCAGATAAACAAAGTTATTAAGGCAATTGTTTTCATAAACCAGATTAAAAATAAAAGGTGATAGGAAGAAAAAACTGTAGTATGAGAATATTGTTTTTAGGAAATTTCTAAGAAAGTGATTTGAAGATCCATGGCTGGAATGAAGACATCACGAAGAAAACAAAGCAAAGCACAGAACTTAAGAGTCTGAGCTGAGCGATGATTCAAAGGATTCAGGATACAGGCTTTCTCCAATTATCTCCAGATTTACTCTCAGAATGGTAGACATTCCTGAAAAGAGTTTTGGGAAATTGAAAAAGGCTTGCAAAGTTTTGACACATTCCCATAGGAATACCCCAGCTTCTCTGAAGAGGATTTGGAAGGCTCAGCAAACGTGGAGCTGTCCTTCCCCTGTCCCTACCTGGGGAAGAGCCCCTCCCACTCCTGAAACAGCAGAGTGTGACTCAGGACTGGAACCTCACTGTGAACCTGGCAGCATGGAGAGCACAGAGGAACAGCAGAGGAGAGACAAGCTTACCTTGGGGATGAGGTAGTTCCTAAATTTAATGTCACAGGTCACTGCATGAGGCAGGTTGGTCGGGATGAGGTCAATGAATCTCTGGACCTCGTGAATCATGGCATCTGTGTAGGGCATGTGGCTCCTGTCCTGCATGCAGGGCCTGCGTTGTTGGCCGATCACAAAGACAATCTCTTCCTGGACTTTAGCTGGTTAGTCACACAGAGATGTGTAAGAATAGGGGAGAAGTGACATGTTTGTCACAATACAAGGCTACACAGTACATGAAGAAGGTGCCCTCACAGCATTATAAATGCATTTTAGGTCCAGCAGTACCTGGGGAATGTGAGTATGAAGCATACGCTGGTAAGAAATGGGGAAGAGGTCCCCCCCTATCAGTGGACTTGGAAAGGGGCACTGTGGAGATGAGGGAGTGAGGGTGGGATTGGGAGGAAATGAAGGAGCAAGACATGGCTGGGATACAGAGTTAATAAAATGTAACTGATAAGAAAAAAAATTAAATTAAATTAAAAAAAGAAGAACCTCCTTGTATAATGCTTTTCTCTACATAGACTCCTCATTGTTTTCAAACAGAGACCCAGACTGTGACCGCATACACACAGCTTACCTGTTCCTCTGACACCTCAGTGTCAGTGTCCTCTTCCTCCCGTTTGTCCTCATTCCTCACTACACTGTTGTAGTTCAGGATTTTTGTGGAGCCCTCTTGGCTGGCTGCCATTTTTCTTTCCTCCTGCCCTTTCATTACTAATTGTCATTCACATGTATGCTATTGTCACTTCAATGTATGTTGAACACAAGTAAACGCTGAATTTCATAAATGCTAGAACACTGAAAGTACTTAAAAGTAAGTTTCATCTTGTCCCATTCAGCTGCTGTCTTCTGGAGG